ACAGGGTTAGGATTATTGTTTGTTTGCATTAAACATTCTTGTCTGCTTAGAAAATTGCAGCATTTGTATCTAATGATGGGAACGTTCTTATTTGCAGATTAATTTTGAATGCAGCAATGATATGAATGCAAATATGGATCTGGTCCAGGCCTCATCAAAGATGTGGCCACCCCCATATGCCACAATGATAATGTCTTGACACTTTAAGTAAACATGTTGCTGTATGAATAACCCTAACAGTTATGATTGGCATTTTGGTAAGCAATCCTGTTTCTATGTACACAGAAAAAAAAAATCTAGATAGAGCTGTTTGGATCAATTTCAGGGGCCCATTTTATACTATTTTATAAAGGAAAGGAGACTTAATGTTATGTGCTTATTAATATTTTGAACTACATTAAATTTTTTATATCTTCTGGTTGCCTTTTAATTAAACTTTTAGTAATTTTGTTGTGTGTTCTTGTCATTTTTATTATGTTGTCTATATACTTTAGTTTTCTATTAAGTTTTTAGTTTTAGTTTATTTAGTTGTTTTAGTACTTCAAGTTAAAGTAAACAAAAATGAGAAATGTTGCTTTGGCAACTAGCTGAATGTGTATTAATAATAATAATTATTATTATTATTATTATTTTAATATGCATTATTTCAGTTAATGTTTATTTTATTTCAAGCAATGAAAATGTTTTTAGTTAGTTTAGTTAACAATAATAACCCTGATTTACACTGTTGCAACATGTACACTGTATCCACATGACTCCAATCCATCAATTAACATCTTGTGAAAAGCTGTGCTTTTGTAATAAACACAAGTACTCTATTAATATAATTGCTTTCTTCAGTGAAGTCGTCTTGTCTGAATCAAGAGAGAAATACTGTTTACACAGATCAAGCACCATTTACAAGTGAAAACAGTCTGTGAAGTGTTAACAGAAGTGTTATTATGGATTATACCAGGGGCGTAGCCATCATTTCAGAAGTGAGGGGGACAGAATGCTGATTTGCCGCTCAAGAAACCTTTTTTAATTATTATTATTAATAATGTTTTTTGAGCAGCAAATCAGAATATCTGAATGATTGCTGAAGGATAGTGTGACTGGAGTAATGATGCAAAAAAATTAGCTTTGAATTACATTTTTAAATATATTAAAATAGAAAACAGTTATTTGAAATAGCCTAGTAAAAATATTTCAAAATTGTACTGTTTTGCTGTACTTTGGTACTTTCTGTACAAATAAATGCAGGCTTGGTGAACAGAAGAGACTTCTTTAAAAAACATTAAAAATCTTACTGTTCAAAAACTTTTGACTGGTAGTGTATAGGCAACTTTAATTTTCCTCTCATTTCTAGCTTTTCATTGGCTTATAAATCAAATAACTGCTGGACAATAACCGATAATAATGATTTGTTTATATAGTACAAACACTTATTTATCACATAATAAGGCAGAATAGTTTCAATACTGTAATAAATGCTATGTCAGTTAGCACTGCATTGTTCATATACTTTATTTATTACCTGGAGATGACTTGACAAACACAAATAAACCGTATTGGCGCAATCGTATGTTTAATGTCTTCATGTTTCCAAATGTTTCTGTTTTTCTGAAAACAACTGTTTTCATACAGCGATAGCTGGACGCTTTTGTCCATATTAGGAATTTCCTCATACGACTTTCTGCGCGAGAGCGTCCTCCGGCTTAGATTATGAATGAAACATACACTGCACGGAATGTTTAGCGCTCCGTGATGTTCATCTCGCCTTATTCTGGGTCCGAATAAAACATCAGATCATGCACAGACTATCCTGTCTCTTTGAATTTAAATCTATATTTATTCACACCGGCTCTTGAATTATATTATCTTAACTACTAATTAACTAATTAATGACTAATTAACATTAAAATATTGCATGTCAAAACATTTTTATTGAAAAAAACTGCAATTTTAGACATTATTTCACAGAACATCTTGGTTATGTATGTAACCCTCGTTCCCTGAAGGAGGGAACGGAGACATTATGTCGACACTGATGTTAGGGGTCTCACTTGGGAGCCCCAATCACCTCTGAGCATTGCAAAAAATAACCAATGACGATTGGCGAGTGGAATTTGAATGCCAAGCCACTCCCTGTACATACGGTTACATAAAATGTCGGCGTGCATCCACTTATTGTTGTGGCATGAGGGATGTAACATCTCCGTTCCCTCCTTCAGGGAACGAGGGTTACATACATAACCGAGACGTTCCCTATCAGTCAGTCACGTTCGACACAGACGTTAGGGGTCCCTATGGAATGCGCCACAACCAGAACTGTGTTACGAAAATTGAAGGTGCAGGTGCTGACAAGCAAGCGTGTCAGGACAGATGCAGGGAGTGGTGGGAACTTTGGGCACATAACCGGGCCGAGGCCTCAAGATAACGTGTAAATCAGCCAGCTCAAACTCAAGGCATGATTCATTGATCGAAAATGTCTTCAGGTCCCTAACCCTCTTGATGGATGTGAGCGCGACCAGGGGCGCTGTCTTAAATGACATGAACTTGAGCTCAACTGAGTCAAGCGGCTCAAAGGGGGCTCCCCGTAGTCCTGCCTGGACCACGGAGAGATCCCAAGAGGGAACGAGGCGCGATCTTGCACAGACCAGGCTCACTGGGGAAAAGGCGTACTTGCATTCACCCTGGGGGCCAGCTGTGTGCCAGAGCATCCATGCCAAGGGGTGCCTCGGTGAGGGCGTAGAACAGCTGGCAGTGGGAAGATTCCTGAGAAGCAAACAGGTCCACCTGGGCTTCCCCGAAATGACTCCACCTGGGGATGGAGTCTCCATTCTCCTGGAAGAGTAAGCTGTCGTGAGAGTGCATTGGCTGCACGATTGAGCTCCCCCGGAAAATGAACGACACGCAGTGATTTGCGATGTGAGTGTACCCCACCCTGATGGTTGATGTACACAACCATTGCAGTGTTGTCCGTGTGGACAAGCACATGCTTGCCTTGCAGCAATGGACAAAACTGGTGAAGAGCAAGCAGTACTGCCAGCAACTCGAGGCAGTTGATGTGCCACTGCAGTCGTGGTTCCGTCCAGGAACCCTGTCCTAGAGGCATCTGTTGTGACAACAACATGCCGTAGAAAAGCAAGGTCCGACCATGGGCTGAAAAGGCGGCGACAAACTGGGGTAACACTGATCCGGTGAGTGCCACGGCGCCATGCCCTTCTCGGGACTCAGCTGTGCAGCCAGTGCTGAAGCGGTCTCATATATAACAACCCGAGTGGTTTAACTGCGGCTGCGGATGCCATCTGCTCTAGGAGCCTCTGAAATGGTTTTGGAGGAACTGCTGTTTTCCCCCTGAACAAATTCAGGCAGTTCAGCACTGACTGGGCACGCTCGTTCGTGAGACGTGCTGTCATGTTGACCAAGTCCAGCTCCATACCGAGAAAAGAGATGCTTTGCACTGGGGAGAACTTGCTCTTTTCCCAGTTGACCCGAAGCCCCAGGTGGCTGAGATGCTGAAGCACCATATGCCTGTGCTTGCGCAACACATCTCGCGAGTGAGCTAATGTAAGCCAGTCGTCGAGATAGTTGAGGACTCGGATGCTCTTCTCCTGAAGTGGGGACAGGGCACTTTCCGCGACTTTTGTAAAGATATGGGGAGACAGGTACAGCCCGACTGGGGAGATACACCCAACCCTCGAAAGCAAACCGAAGAAACGGTCTGTGTCGAGGGAGAATCAAGACGAGAAAGTATGCGTCCTTCAGGTTGATCGCTGCAAACCAATCCTGGTGTCGAACGCATGAAAGAATGCACTTCTGCGTCAACATCTTGAACGGAAGCCTGTGAAGAGACCGATTCAAGACTCCCAGATCCAGGATAGGTCGTAACCCACCGCTCTTCGTGGGTACAATGAAATAAGGACTGTAAAATCCCAATTTCATCTCGGCTGGAGGGACAGGCTCTATTGCATACTTTGTTGAATCGTCTGAATGAGCCAGGCCCTGAGAAAGTGGCACCAAAGGTACGATTACTGACGTACTCTCGGTGAGGCAGCAGAGAGGAGGAAGAGAGTCCAACCTGGGAAGCGTGGCATCCTGAAGTACAGGCAGAGGAGAAGCTCTTAACTGACTCCCCGGATCCCATGGAGAGATTGCAAGGGAAACATGAGGCAGCGTAGCGTCCTGCAACCGCAACCTCTTGGGTGGTGATACACTGTGTCGAGACTGACAGTGAGGAAGCAGAGCGTCGCTCACAGACAAATCCTGACACATCAGACCCAGAGACGAAGGAAATTGCTCTTTTATGAAGAATACAGATACAGATAAGAGTAAGATAATTCGAAAGCACAAAGTGTTTACTTTTATTTTTGCACACTCAAAATAACAACAGAACATTTGTGATTTTGTAAAATAAAGCAAGGATGCGCATTTAATTAAAACTGTTCCTTATTTAAGTCAGCTATTTTTCACATATTTATACCTATGCTACTATGATTGAATTTAATTTTTATGAAAACAAATTTTGTTATTTTTAATGTATCTTAGATATACATTTTCCTAAAATCATCCTGGCAACCCATTTTTGACCGGTTTTGAAGCTGTGCCCTAGTTAGGTTAATGCAGAAACATGTGAATGATGCTCTCTTATAATTGTGGCATCACCGTTTAGTGACGTCATTGAATGTTCCGGGAAAACTTAAGTTGTATTTTCAGTGTCGGTCACAGCGCCTTTTAATTGCTGTTTTGGATCTGGCAATTATTCATTTACAAATTAAGCACTGCTCTTAAGCTTACCAAGGCTGCATTTATTTGCTATAAAATACAGTAAAAACAGTAATATTGTGAAATACTATTGCAATTTAAAATAAGTGTGTTCTATTGTTATACATTTTAAAATGTAATTTACTTCTGTGATGGCAAAGCTGAATTTTCAGCAGCCATTCTGATCCTTCAGAAATCATTCTAATATGCTGATCTGCTGCTCACGAAACATTTCTAATTATTAGTGTTAAAACAGTTGCTTAATTGTTTTGTGAAAACTTTCTTAATAGAAATGACTAAACTCCCCCTCACCTGACTGTCCAGTCCTGGCTTGATTCTCAGCTATAGGTGATGTCTTGCACTCAGTATTGATCCCCTCAGCCAAATCATTGCTGCTTTCCACAATTTTATCCTGTTGAAGCATTTCTGTCTGTTCATCCTCCACTGTAGCACATGTTTCTGTGTCAGGAGTCTGTTCTGCTGATGTGGCGTCTGGGCTGTTCTTGGAGGTCTCTGAGGAAGCCTGAGAGTCGACAGATTCAGTCTTCTCTTTCATGTCTGAATCTCCTTGATTGCTCAAACTAGAAAGATCTGTCTCGACCTGAATGGTTGGTAAGTTTATTTGGGGTAAGGTATCAGTTGAGCTAATCTGTGGCTCGTTTTTATCTTGAGTGGTTGAAATGATTTCAGGAATACATGCGTCATTGATTTGAGATGGCTCTGTAGCATGGGATTCTTGAAAGAGTGGTGCATGCTGGGAAAAAATTGCATCAGCCTCCTCTGTCTGGATTAAAGGTGTGTCCATCTGTTCCTTCTCATTTTCATCACCTACTTCTGTCGCCTCATTCTTCTTTATTATTTCTGTGTATGATTCTTCCTTCCTGAGCACAGTCACGTTAACTGCTCTGTCTACATCCACATGTGACATTCGTTCATTGTCTTGGTTCTGTCTGTCCTGTTGGTTTTCCGTCATCCCATCTTGTTTGTTTTCACATTCATGTTCATCCATGATGTTCCCATATTGTATTTTTTCACTCTCACAGTTTTCTGTCATTTTCTGATTCTGTTCTTTTTCACCCTCATGTTCTTCCAGACTTTTCCCATCTTCATGTATTTCCCCAATTTTACAATCTTGCTCTTTTTCACTTTCAAACACTTCCTTAATTTTCCAATCCTGTTCTTGGCAGCAGAGAGGAGGAAGAGAGTCCAACCTGGGAAGCGTGGCATCCTGAAGTACAGGCAGAGGAGAAGCTCTTAACTGACTCCCCGGATCCCATGGAGAGATTGCAAGGGAAACATGAGGCAGCGTAGCGTCCTGCAACCGCAACCTCTTGGGTGGTGATACACTGTGTCGAGACTGACAGTGAGGAAGCAGAGCGTCGCTCACAGACAAATCCTGACACATCAGACCCAGAGACGAAGGAAATTGCTCTTTTATGAAGAATACAGATACAGATAAGAGTAAGATAATTCGAAAGCACAAAGTGTTTACTTTTATTTTTGCACACTCAAAATAACAACAGAACATTTGTGATTTTGTAAAATAAAGCAAGGATGCGCATTTAATTAAAACTGTTCCTTATTTAAGTCAGCTATTTTTCACATATTTATACCTATGCTACTATGATTGAATTTAATTTTTATGAAAACAAATTTTGTTATTTTTAATGTATCTTAGATATACATTTTCCTAAAATCATCCTGGCAACCCATTTTTGACCGGTTTTGAAGCTGTGCCCTAGTTAGGTTAATGCAGAAACATGTGAATGATGCTCTCTTATAATTGTGGCATCACCGTTTAGTGACGTCATTGAATGTTCCGGGAAAACTTAAGTTGTATTTTCAGTGTCGGTCACAGCGCCTTTTAATTGCTGTTTTGGATCTGGCAATTATTCATTTACAAATTAAGCACTGCTCTTAAGCTTACCAAGGCTGCATTTATTTGCTATAAAATACAGTAAAAACAGTAATATTGTGAAATACTATTGCAATTTAAAATAAGTGTGTTCTATTGTTATACATTTTAAAATGTAATTTACTTCTGTGATGGCAAAGCTGAATTTTCAGCAGCCATTCTGATCCTTCAGAAATCATTCTAATATGCTGATCTGCTGCTCACGAAACATTTCTAATTATTAGTGTTAAAACAGTTGCTTAATTGTTTTGTGAAAACTTTCTTAATAGAAATGACTAAACTCCCCCTCACCTGACTGTCCAGTCCTGGCTTGATTCTCAGCTATAGGTGATGTCTTGCACTCAGTATTGATCCCCTCAGCCAAATCATTGCTGCTTTCCACAATTTTATCCTGTTGAAGCATTTCTGTCTGTTCATCCTCCACTGTAGCACATGTTTCTGTGTCAGGAGTCTGTTCTGCTGATGTGGCGTCTGGGCTGTTCTTGGAGGTCTCTGAGGAAGCCTGAGAGTCGACAGATTCAGTCTTCTCTTTCATGTCTGAATCTCCTTGATTGCTCAAACTAGAAAGATCTGTCTCGACCTGAATGGTTGGTAAGTTTATTTGGGGTAAGGTATCAGTTGAGCTAATCTGTGGCTCGTTTTTATCTTGAGTGGTTGAAATGATTTCAGGAATACATGCGTCATTGATTTGAGATGGCTCTGTAGCATGGGATTCTTGAAAGAGTGGTGCATGCTGGGAAAAAATTGCATCAGCCTCCTCTGTCTGGATTAAAGGTGTGTCCATCTGTTCCTTCTCATTTTCATCACCTACTTCTGTCGCCTCATTCTTCTTTATTATTTCTGTGTATGATTCTTCCTTCCTGAGCACAGTCACGTTAACTGCTCTGTCTACATCCACATGTGACATTCGTTCATTGTCTTGGTTCTGTCTGTCCTGTTGGTTTTCCGTCATCCCATCTTGTTTGTTTTCACATTCATGTTCATCCATGATGTTCCCATATTGTATTTTTTCACTCTCACAGTTTTCTGTCATTTTCTGATTCTGTTCTTTTTCACCCTCATGTTCTTCCAGACTTTTCCCATCTTCATGTATTTCCCCAATTTTACAATCTTGCTCTTTTTCACTTTCAAACACTTCCTTAATTTTCCAATCCTGTTCTTCCAACCGTCTACCATCTTGTTCTTCAACATCATCTTCTTTTTCACTCTCATGTTCTTCCTTACATTTTTCAAAAATGTTTCCATCTTGCTCATTTTCTTGCCCACATACCTCCATAATTTTTTCAGTCTCAAATACTTCCACTACTTTCCGATTCTCTTTTCCACCTTCATATTCTTCTATGAATTCTCCATCATGTATTTTTTCAATCCCACAGTCTTCTATCATTTTCCAATCCTGTTCATTTTCGCTCTCATGTTCTGTCAGACTTTTCTCATTTTCATGATTTTCTACAATTTTCCTCTCTTGTTCTTTTTCACTCTCATGTTTTTCACATATTTCTACAATTTTCCCATCTTGCTCATTTTCTTGCCCACATTCTTCCATAATTTTCACATATTGTATTTTTTCGGTCTCAAATCCTTCCACTACTTTCCAGCCATCTTCTTTTTCACGTTCATGTTCTTCTATGTCTCCATATTGTATTTTTTCACCCTCACAGTCTTCTATCATTTTCTGGTTCTGTTCTTTTTCAATCTCATGTTCTTCTTCACATTTATGTATTTCTTCAGTCTCAAATCCTTCCATGCTTGTCTCATCCTGTTCTTTTTCACTGTCAAATGCATCCACAGTTTTTCCATCTAGATTTCCTTTTTTTCCATCTTCTTCCATTATTTTTCTATCAGTTTCTTTTTCCCTCTTATGTTCTTCCTCACATTTTTCTACAGTTTTCCCATCTTGCCCACATTCTTCCATAATTTTTGCATATTGTATTTGTTCACTCTTAAATTCTTCATTAATTTTCCAGTCTTGTTCTTTTTCACATTCAAGTTCTTCCATGATGCCCCCATCTTGTATTTTTTCAACCTCATGTTCTTTCATAATTTTACCAGCTTGCTCATTTTCACTGTCATGTTCTTCATCACATTTTTCTTTCATTTTCCTATTTTGTTCAGTTTCTTGCCCACATTTTTCCATAATTTTTGCATATAGTTTCATTTCAGTTTCAGATATTTCCATGCTTTTCTCTTCTTTTTCACTGTCAAATGCATCCACAATTTTCCCATCTTGCTCATGTTCTTCCATATTTTTTTCCAAATCTTTCCCATATTTTTCACTTTCTTTTTCCTCTATAATTTTGCCACTCTCAAATTCTTCCACAATCTCCCCAACTTTATCTTCTTCCCTCTCGCATTCTTCCATAATATTTCCATCTTGTTTTTCTTCACTCTCACATTCGTCCAACATTTTCCCATCTTGTTCTTTTCCACTCTCATATTTCTCCATCATTTTACCATTTGATTCTTTTTCACTTTCATGATTTTCCATAGTCATCCCATCGTGTTCTTCCTGTCCCCTGTTTTTCATCTCTCCAGTTTCAGCTCTCTCTTCTCCACCTCCCTTCTCTTCTTCATGCCCCCCTCGCTCTCCATACATCTCTTCAGTTGCATCTTTCCCCTCATATTTCATCTCTTTTGCTTCATTCCCTTCATCCTCCCCCTCCTCAACCGTAGATATACCCGATGCCCAAGCAGTAAAATCCCTCCCCGGTTCCAGGTCGTTCAGCGTTCGTGGAGCAACAGACAGAGCAGGAAGTGGTCTGGTGGGTGGCTCAGGTACCAAAACACATGATGGAGGAAGAAAAGGGTCTAAGGGGTCATCAAGTGTCTCAGGCTGGCCCACAGATGGTTCTGGTGAATTCTCATAACCAGGGGGAAGTGGAGGAAACTCATCGGCTACCACTGATTCATCTGGTTGGAGCTGTTCAGGGGTTGGTGGAGGTGGATAAAAGACCAGACTGTCTAGTATATCACTGACAGGAGTTTTGATTTCAGATTCAGTTGCATCGGTTGTATGTAATGGTTGAGTTTGGAGCTGTGGCTCCATCATCTTAGATTGCTGGATCTGGCTTTTGGTAGATACCATTGCACCATTCGGCAGCAAGGAAGCCGTAGTGCTAGTGAAAAGGATTGGGCTCCGGGATGTGGGAGTTGACGGAAAGTAAGGCGATACCACTGATGATCTGTATGGGGAAGTAGGTGTAGAAGAAGGTGATTCATTGAACCTGAAGATATTGTCTGTCTGACTTTGATGCAGTCGCCTATAGGGACTCCTGGCTGCACAAAAAAAGAGAAAGAATTTTTGAAACAACTAAAATATGAAAAGCACGCTTACAAAACAAGACTACTGTAATTATAATCAACAAATCTGTCTACATGTCAAGAGGCAATAATGTGTGCGTCACATAACTGCCACTTGATGTGTAGACAGACTTGTTCAGTTGCCGAACACCCTATTTCTATTTTTGTCATGCTGAACATCTGCGCAAGCCATATCTGTTATAAAAACATTTTATTAACAAATCAAATGTGTGAACTGCTTACTATGAATTTTATTTACTATATATTTACATAACTGATAACAGATTACAATACGTTATAATGCATTAATCATGAACTGCTGTAAAATGAACATGAAAATGTTTTACTGTACATTAGATTTTATGTTAATCTACACTACTGTTCAAAAGTCTGGGGTAAGTATGATGTATTTATTTATTTATTACATTTTTGAAAAAAAGTAGTTTATTTGTTTATACAACAAATTTTTTTTTACAATTATTCTGGACCCCACACTTTTGAACAGTAGTGCAGAAATATATAGAAACATTAACCTAGATTTATAAATGCTGTAAATGTAGCCTATTGTTCATTGTCATTTTATACAGTAACTGTGGTAAATGCTAACTAATTGAAAATGTATGATCTTTACATTAAAGGTGGTTGGGATGCCATAAAAATGCAAAAATAAATTATGTTGGATCTTAAAATAAGTTCTCAAATGTAAGACATAAAATATTTGTTTGTGAGGAGTATGCAGTAGCATAGTTGTTCTCACGGTTTCAGCTAAAATGGCGGTTCTCTTTGTCTTATACTTTACCTGGACATGTGGAGCTGGGATGGGAGGCTATGTGGACACTTGAGGAGGACAGTTGTCTGAAAAACTCTCTGGGGTTTACAGCACGCTGAGACACAAGAGCTGCTGCCTCCTGTGGGCCATAAACAGTATTAAATCACTGCATGAAAATCACAGGGCACATATTTAGGGGATGGGCTTAGTGCAGGTTTGATTGACAGAACTAACCACAGCAATCTCCTCTGATTGAGAGCGTGAATATCTAGCTCTAATTTCCTCTTCTTCACACTCCCTTTCCTCATGCTCCTGTCATATAATATAGATTAAGAATATACTGTATACATGGAAACACACACGCACACACATGGAAACAAATTTATCATACCCATTTTATTTTCTCCAGTTTCCAGGCCTCTGCCTCCATTTGGGCCTGTATTCTCCTATTAAAAAAAAAAAAGTTCACCTTTGACCCTTGTTTTTTTTTTTTTTTGCACACATGCATGGGAATATTTGACTGACCTCTGCTCCTTTATTTTCTGTTCTTTTTCATTCATCCTCCTCTCTCTCTCTGTTGCATCTCTCCTTTCCTGGAGCAAACGTTCTTTCTCTCTCTGCTTCCTGTCCTCTGCTGCCCTCCGCTGTTCCTCCTTTTTCCTTTCCTCCTCTTCTCTCTGTAAAATACAGTAAGAAACTAACCTCTGTCTGCTTTTGTATTGTTTGTGACATTTTTCCATTTTTGGAGGAAAATTTGAGTGAGTCCATGTTGCTGTGCTAAATTCAAATTCTCAAATAATAACTCATAATAACTCAAATAATAAATCTCAGTTATCTCAGATCATTATATATTTTATGCCATGCTATGGGTTAATAAAAAATTATGAAATGTAAAAATAGTAAAAAAAAACAAAAAAAACTCTGTACCTCTGCATGCGCCCAAAAAGAATCTCTCTGTATTCTTTGGATCTCTGCAGCTGCGATTGTCCGCTTGTAATTAGTGCCCTGGAAATGGTAAGGAGACTTTGATTTGTTTACCATTTTCCTGATTTTAATTGCCTGACTGGTTATACTTTTCAAAACAACATTATCATTTAGGATTAATAAAGCCTGCCCCCTTGTTGTAAGAAATTGTCATGATCTCATACCACAATGGCCTGTCTGTCTTCTGTCCGGCGGCTGGGTCTCCCTCTCGGCCCCTGCACTGCAGCATTATAGGCCAGTGTACAGATCCTCTCCTCTGTGATTTCATCCAAAGTGTGGGCAGGAAGAAAGATGTGAACTTCCTGAAGCATCAGAAAGACAAAGAGAGCGATAGGGAAAATATGTTTTCATAGTTTTTATCCATTTATCTTTTGTTTTTTATTTAAAACTGACAAGACATGCAGTCCAAACAAGACTTCTAAACGAAGAAACTGAATTAAAATCAAATCTAATTTAAGATCTCTACATGCTTGCATGTTTACAAAACAAGTTTATTATGTTACCTAACCCTGTTGAAAAAACCAGCATATGCTGGTTAGGTATGTTTTGACGCTGGGATGCTGGTTTAAGCTGGTCCTTTGCTGGTTTATGCTGGTCCTTTGCCAGCACATGACCAGCATAAACCAGCATAAACCAGCAAAGGACCAGTTTAAACCAGCAAAGGACCAGCTTAAACCAGCAAAAGACCAGCTTAAACCAGCAACCCAGCGTCAAAACATACCTAACCAGCATATGCTGTTTTTTTCAACAGGGAAATCGATTTACCTCTATATACACAAGTAAAGCAAGATGTAAGGCTTTGATTTTTTTCAGTATACTAAATTAAATACAATATTGTTTTATAATCCCTGTCCTCTTTTACCTTAAAGAAAGCCCTGATTGCTGGTAAATGACTGGCACACTCAGCTCTGCGGTACCCATCCACTTCATTTCCTACCTGAGAGACCACAAACACTGGTTAAAGGGAAATAATCAGTGTTTTACATTAAACTGTGTGGAGGATGAACTAACCCATAATATCATAGCGATGCGAGGTTGAGCTTTGCCCACCCTGCACATCCCATAAAGTGGCCATTTAGGGTGAAGCTTAGCTGTCAACTCTTTCAATCCACCTGCTATAAAAGAACGAGCATATAAACAAGTCCACAAACAAAAAACAAAACATTATTTATGCATCTTTTTTGTGCTCTTACCTCCAGAATCAGCCAGTTTGAGCATGTTCATTATTCCATCATAGGTGAATAAAGCCCTGTACATAGAGATAGAAGAAAGTAGCCACAGGGAATATTAAAGGTTCACTTTATTTCATTAAGATGAATAACTCAATTTAGAGACAAAGATAAATGTATTCTAAGTGCAGGCAAGCTCTCTGATATTTTAGTAACAGACATATGAATGCTTCCGTACTGATGTTTGAGGTTTGGTTATTAACTGCATGTATGTATGATTAATTGGTAGATTTAATTTAGCGTTTAATGCATTTGAAATGAAAGTCAGTATATTAAATTTATAAATATAGACATTTTGTATGTTTATATTTGTATCTATCCACACACATATAATATTGTGTAATATATATATATATATATATATATATATATACACACAAGTTGGGAAAGGCCTAAGGTATGAAAATATGATGTATTGAAAGTTCAGTACAGTAAATTAAACGGGGGGGAAAAAAACTAATTTCAGCCACAAATGGCACCATTTCCTGTGAATGACGCCCATATAAAGGACCCTTCCCCTAGGGTCTTCTGTAATGTGCTCACACCCAAAAACAAAAGGGCAGTTTTCCCACATTCTCATGACAACAGTGTCAGAAGTTACAACTGCAACAGTAGAAACAGTAGCATGACATTTAACTAGTACAAACCTGTGCACTCAGGTTCATACAAACAAAAATAGATGAATTTGGCTATTTGGACCCTGGAGCCTTTATATCTGTCGTTCTTGAAAATCACTATGCTAAGCATGTCTTAGCCATTCTCAAAAGCCTAGAAGGATAACAGCATAGACTGTTAATCCAAACATTTTTCAACTTCTAGGCAAATAGTTTGAGCTATATTAAAAGAAGCGGCTTACACAAATGTCTTGAGCTTAACGCCTTGACTGCATACACTGTCAAGCATGTTACATCTACTGTAATGTTGCTATTATGAAGTGATGCATGTGATGTTTTTGTAAGTTTACTTAATAATGCAAGCCACTACAGGCATCAGTGTTTTTCATACTCTGGTCAATTTTGAGATTTTTGGCTATTTTGCTTCCATAACATGTCTTTTTTAGTGGAAAGAAAAGATCCGAAATACATTTAAGTGTTTATTATTACACTTTATCCATCTGAAGCTTTTTTCTGATTTCTTTTTTTAAATGCACCGAGCCAGAAATCTCCACTTCAGTAGCACTTACATATACCAGACTTTACAGTTTTATTTTATTTGTCTATATTTTGAGGGATTTTGTCAGAGGGGTTTGTTCATAGATTGTTCGATCTGAATTTTAAAACCTTTCCCCCCCCCCCCTGGCTGTTGACAGTATTTTCTGATTTATGGAGTGATAAAAAGAGATATCTAAATCCTCAGATATCTAAATCCTCTAACAAGAAATGTAACAAGAATTTTGACATTGGCTTTATCCAACGTTCAGATTTCTGTTCTGGAAATGTATGCTAATTAGATTTCAATATTCAAACATGGGATATCAGAAAATGATTGTTTTGTACTGTAATAATCTGGGGAAAGTACAGTGATATTTATTAGTTAACATTTTTACCCTATTGTGTCTTAAATGTACTGTACTGTCGAACATAAAACAGTATTCTTTATACTTTATTATAGATACACATACTATATTCTGTAAAAAAATGACAGAGACAGGAAATGACAGAGACAGGAAGGCTATGGAGATGCAGAGTCCTGCTTTTTCAGACTTCCGTGTTTAGACAAGGACCTTCGTAAGGCATCTGGCACATTCTATCTGCGTTGAATATGTGCTTGAATCCATTATTAAAATTAAATGTGAATATCTGATAACCCGACGTGGATTCATCTAAATAATGAAATACAGATCTGAACTACACATGATCAAATTAGGACATGGTTTGAATAATTTAATGAGGCCTTGGTTTTAAAACAGCTTAGAGTTTAACATGGAAAGAATATTGAAAGAAATCCAAAAGGTTTCTGTTACCAGGAAACACACTTGACTGAATGAAGTTCAGAATTATACAGACTTTTTTTGTTTAGCTCATAAACAACCAACATTCTCTCTTTTGAAAAGTACTTCCAGCAGTGACATTCTCCCTTTTAAAACGTTTCCTGTGACAACAGTAGCCAGAACAACAGGAACTGCTCAGCCTGTGGATATGTCTGCATTTTAGCCCCCAGCATGGTCAAAAACAATCACTGACACTAGTGTTGCCAACTTAGCAATTTTGTTGCTAAATGTAGCAACTTTTCAGACTACCCTAGCAACTTTTTCTACCAAAAGCACCTAGCAACAAATTTAGCTATTTTTTTTTTATTTATTTGCCAGCTTTTAGCAACTTTTGATAAGTGACTCAAATGATAAAAAGTCACAATTTACCATTTAAAGGACACAAAAAGAGGAAACCAAAGATGCCTAGCAGTACACACCTTACAGGAATTAAGTTAGCTGCTATTTGCAATTGTTTAATAATAATAATAATAATAATAATTGAATACTGTTATTTTTCATTTATGAGACACTTTGTTAGTAGCTTGCACCTGCGATTGTTGATGAGTTACACTGTTTCTTACAGAAACACTGTAAGAAAAATATGCAGGAAAATGGAAAAGGTGCTAGTAATTTTCCAGGACATTAGCCGTTATCCGTTGTAACCCGAAAACACAAAACACAATGCGTAATTAAAAATGCAGGTACAAAAACCAGTGGAAAAATCAATCCAGAAAATTCCTTCATATTAACACAGTAGATTGTGCATTATGTTTTTACTTTTCTTAGAGTGCAGCATACTAACTAACTACTACTAAACTGCTTTAAAGTATAAAACTTAAATTGTAATCGTTCAAAAATGTGTACGATTTCGATAATTCAATTGATTTAAAAATAGTTCTTTATATTTTAATATTATATTATGCATTTATATTGCTAAGAACAAATCTAAATTAACATATATAAAATGCATAAATGTTTTTGCTGAGATTTGACACAATTTTGCATCGTGGTTACGTAATGACGTCATCACGCAATGTCATCACAACATCATTTAGCAACTTTTAGCAACAAATCAACCTTCCTTTAGCAACTTCCCCTGGAAATTAGACACACTCATGTCTTAAGCACCATGTTCAACAGATGCTTGACCCACACACACACCTCCTTGCTTTAGCTTTATCATCTCGGATTGTAGGATAGTTTGTCACAGTGGTGATTTTGCAGATAAACATGCTAATTAAGATAAGCAGGGGTATTTACAGAGGAAATTAGACTGGGAGGGGGTTGTTTGGTCATTAAGATAAGACAGAGATTCTGAAATGTAATTTATCAGATCAAGACACCATCACAGCAATGAGGTATACTGCACTAGCTAGTTTGCATGAAATGGCAAAAAAAAAAAAAAACCGAAGTAACATTTTTTGTGTGTGGAATGCCACCTAATTCTTTTAAATACGAGTTTTTTGTCCTATTAATTTAAAGGGGGCCGTTGACGAACACTGAATATCTCCCTAACAATCACACATGCAGTATGAGCAAAAGCATCTGTGTAGTGGAATAGCTGCACATTATTTTCTTTCCACGGAAGCTCAACATGAGCATAGTGTTTTATGTGGTTGTTTGCATTTATGAATAATTAAAAGCTTAAAATAGTAAGATATGAGCAATGGAAAGTTGTCTTTTGTTCAAGAATGGAAATTGCGTTGGCAAATTCCCACCAAGCAGAGTGGCGCAGCGGAAGCGTGCTGGGCCCATAACCCAGAGGTCGATGGATCGAAACCATCCTCTGCTAACAATTTTCGCTTTTACAAAATAAGATATTGTGCATAGGTTATATCGTATTTTGATGCATTATATATGCATTATAATCATTATTGTTTAAAAACATTTGCTATTTCATTAAAAGGTATTATTTGGTCAAACATAAATACAAATAAATAAATAAAAACAAGCAAAAAACAACATTTTAAATGTAAAAGAGATTCACGTAGGCTATCCTGTTCACCGTCTTATTTTACTGTAAGAATCGTGTCTATCTGAATGATGTTTTCTATGAATTACAGGATTTTAAAAATAAGCAAATAAACAAAAGCCGTCCTCATACCAGTTTGTTGACGAGCGTGGATTCAGGATGTCTTCTTTTGCCGTAAGTAAAGACAGACTGTATGTATCCAGATCAACTTCCCTCATTGATTTCATGATGATGTTAGTGTATTAAATGCAATCCTTAAATGCAGAATAAATGTGAATAAAATAACCTGTAGTCATACAGCAGATCTCGTTATGGCAGCAGCTAGATGTCCTCCTGAAAGATTAAAATAGCCAGCTTTTGTCAATTGTATGCAAACTCTTAGGAAGCTTAGAAAAAAAAAACCACAAGCCACTCCTGCTCGGAATAAATAGCGGTTTGCATTGTTTCAAAGGTTAGCCACTGACAAATCCCACCCATTTAATTTATATTAATAAAACAATTTTGAGTTAACGCTTCATTTTGAATGAACCATAAATAACTAAAATAACATACACTGTTGGCTTTCTGAGACACTTTTTATGTAATGTTTACCGTAAAGTACGCCTTTACGGTCATTTGATCAATCATTTAAGTGTGTAATGTAAGTTATATCACATGTGTTTATGCTTATAAACATATTTGTTATTAAAATATATCAGAATACTGTGAGTTAGCGATATATGGAAGAAGTATTCTTTATTCTCAAAAATATTTTTGTTTTATCTTTGCATTATTTTAATGCATATACAAATGCAATCGCAGATAAATAAATAACAAATAAAGAATATCTGTATATATTTTATATAGACGTGCATACGGAAAAGCTACAACTCTCAGCCAATAGCAGCGCGTTTCGTGTGTGACATCAATTCCATGCGCCGCGGCTGCACACACACAAGACACCGGCTTCGTGCGATTCTTCTGTCGAGTGAAAATATGTCTACTGTTCGAGAAGCTGATGAATACGCGGATAAATGTTACTCTTGTCTTTACAATATTTAGCGTAATATTAGGTTTGCGCTGTTGTAGTATTAGTTTTGTGATCCACGTGGCCACATTGATGATATTTCGTGTGTACTGTAGTTCTGACAGTGGTTTTCAAAACACTAAGTTTGTGTAGCATCTCCACGTCCAGACTAGAATGAAGTGCCACTATGAGGTGCTGGGCGTTAAAAGAGACGCGTCGGACGACGACCTGAAAAAGGCTTATAGGAAATTAGCCTTGAAATGGCACCCAGGTATTTGGTTTCATCTTATCTGTTTGATAAGTAATAAAGGTTACTGTCCCATATTGATAAATAAGGCTGTTGGTGTCGCCTGTTCTCTAACAATGGAATGATCTGTCAAGTGCTGTTGATTATAGGACTTACATTAGTTTAACCTTGAAATGATGTTATAATGTTGTTCATATTGTTATTCTGATTCTAGACAAGAACTTGGATGACGCAGAGGAGGCTGCAGAGGAGTTCAAACTTATCCAGGCTGCGTATGATGTTCTGAGTGATCCGCAGGAGAGAGCCTGGTAAGACCTCCGAACAACTACTACTACGTTCACCACACATGCAATACATCTAGCTTCGTTCAAAACTAATGACATTTTACTTGAGGCTTTATTTGTTACCTACCCTGTGTAAACAATCCTTTAAAAAGGATACTTTCTTTCCAAAAATGAATATTCTGTCTTTTATTCACTGCTGTGATGTGGCAAATCTATATGGCTTTATTTTCTTCCACAGCATGTATATTTATTGCAAAATGTCTAAACCACTGCTTTTCATATAAAAGGGGATAGTGATTTTTCCCACCAAGCTCTAAATAGAAGACACAAACAGAAATTTAAGTTGTTATTCAGTGTTCTCAAATGTCATTCACACTTGCATATATTCAAATAACCATTGTAGTAGCAAATAAAGAGTTCTGTTTCTTGCCCTTAAGGCTCCAGAGTTATCCAAAATACCAATCGTCTTTACAGTGATTACAGTGACTGGAACAGAGAAATTAAATAATGCACTGTTTGTGTGTGTGTGTATGTGTATGTGTATGTGTATGTGTATGTGTATGACCTTAAAAAGGCGGTTCATGCTCAAACCCTGCTAATGTGGCTGAATTACAACAATTCTGCATAGATGAGTGGACCAACATTCCTCCACAGCGCTGTAATAGACTCATTGCAAGTTATCGCAAACGCTTGATTGCAGTTGTTGCTGCTAAGGGTGGCCCAACCAGTTATTAGGTTTAGGGGGCAAACACTTTTTCACACAGGGCCATGTAGTTTTGGATTTTGTTTTCCCTTAATAATAAAAACCTTCATTTAAAAACTGCATGTTGTGTTCACTTGTTATCTTTTACTAATATTTAAATTTGTTTGATCTGAAACATTAAAGTGTGACACACATGCAAAAAAAAGAAATCAGGTAGGGGGCCAACACTTTTTCACACCACTGTATAAGTATACATACTGTATATATATATATCATCCTCAAAGAGAATCCTCCTTTATCGTTGTTTCAAGCATCTGAAATCCTAGTTTTGATATATTTTTTCTTGATCGTATTTCATACAAAACAAGTCACTTTTTAGTTTATTTGAGATTCTCTTATAGTGATGCTGTGAGCAATTCTGACTCTTTGACAAGAAATTGTCAACTGTCTGCTTTCTAAGCATTCAAAAATGAAAGCTCTTGAAAGACCAAAGCATTCGAGATCTACAGTCATTTCATTTTGGTATATCATTTTTGGTTTATGGGGTGCTGGTTAAAGGAGTAGTTCCACACTTTTTCTCACCCTTATGACATTCCAAACCGATATGCAGTTAGTTTTCCATTCAACAGAAAAAGGGGAATTTAGCTATTTTCCATATGGTGTTATGGACTACTTTTGTGGTGTTTTTTGGAGCGTGACAGTGGGCCACTGCTGTTGTACAAAAGAGCTTCAAAATTCTCCTTTTGTGTTCAGTGGAAAAACAGCATATGGGCTTGGAATGACAGACGTATTGAATGTTGTTGTTGCAAATTCTGCTGATCTACATGTTCTAGCTGTGTAACAAAAATGAGGATTATATAATTTTCTCCATAGTATGTGGGACTAAATACCAGTAATATTAATCAGTATTTGGCCTTTAGTATACTAAAATGTTTATTACAGCCTTCAGTATTTTCCCATTAATATTTAATTCTGTTAATATGGCTGTTACATTTGTTTTAAGGTATGATAACCACCGAGAGGCGCTGTTGAAAGGGGGTGTCAGCGGAGAGTACCAGGATGACAGCATTGATCTCTTGCAGTTCTTCACTGTCACCTGCTACTCAGGTTACGGAGATGATGAAAAGGTGAATATTTAAAATGTATTTTTTGTCAGCCTGTAACCAAACATACTTGTGTCTGTTCATACAGGACAAGTTCTTGTGTTTCATCTGCATTAATTTTTAATTGTGTGAAACATGTCAGACAGATTTTTTTACCATAGCATTGTATCTATATGCTCAGCAAAAAAGTGCATATAGAGACTATTGTGTTCTGTATGTAGCTGTAATTGAACTAAATGAGAGCTTTAAAAATGTTTTATATATTTTATTTCATATTCTATTACATATATTGTTGATTTATTATGTCTTGTATTATCTTACATATAATTGGTATTTATCTGTTTATAATGTATAGCTCATATGTCTGCTATACCATCCTGTACCGCTGGAGGACAGTACAAGTTATTGTTGAAAATGCAATGTTATGCTTTCAGTTTGGAATGATTAAGATTATTTATTGTGGAAATGCATGCATTCTGTGTTTTAACAGTGCAAACTCTTTTGTCTCTGTAGGGCTTTTACACCATATACAGGAATGTGTTTGAGACTATCGCAAAGGAGGAGATGGAGCACAGTAAAGATGAGGAGGAAGAAGATGAGGAGCAGTTTCCCTCATTTGGAGATTCTCAGAGTGACTATGACACTGTATGTAGACACTGGTGCATGCAGTTTTCCACAAAAATATTAAGCACAACTATTGTGAATCTTGATTTTTTTTTAAAAAGAGTCTGTGACAGACTGGAGTAATGGCTGCTGAAAATTCAGCTTTGCCTTCACAGGGATAAATTACATTTCAAAATACATTCAAATAGAGAACAGCTATTTTAAATTGTAATAAGAATTCACAATATTACTCTTTTACTGTAATTTGGATCAAATAGATTCAGCTTTGTTCAGAATTTAGAGACCTCTTTCGAAAATATTTAAAAATCTTACCGACCCCCAAACTTTTGAAAAGTAGTAGTGTATGTGACTCTGACTCTTTTGATCCGGTTCTTTTTAATAAACCAGAATCACTAAATTCCTTAGAAAATGAAAAACAATCTTGAGTCAGAACTAATGTATTGACTGTGAGAGTCGGTTGATGATCCAAAAAAAAAATCAGTTTTATAATCTTTTAATTATATTTTATCTTTTATATTATAATCTTAAAATCAGTTATACATTTGTTACAATTTGAGATAGTAGGGTACACACTTTGTTTGTTAGAGAGATATGTATAGATTGTAACATGAAGATGAAATACTTGAGTGCTAAAACATGGCATCAGAGTTCGTCAAGGGGTCTAGTGCATTTTAGACTTTCAGCCTTATTAGCTAAATGGAACACAAAAGTATTCCATCTATAAATACTTCTACAGGTAACAGGATGGCACTCTTCCGTATCTGAAAACATTTTTCAGATTGTTAGCTAAAAGAGGGGGAAAATCTTGACAGAAAAAATTCACATTTGGTTCAAGGGATCCAGTACCTCTTTTAGCCGCTGAGACCATTTTCTCCGGGGTCTGAACAATGAGGTTCATCCCACTTCAATTAGGCCTGAAGGCTCTTAAATGATCTTAACCGTTCCCCCTTCCGGTGTGGCTCATACTTGCACTTCACCTAATGGATGTTTTGAAGTGTTTGCCATCAGTGGAGGCTTGCAAGAAGCAGATGAATGTACAAGCCTCCTAAAAACTCTTCATCTTGTTTTTAAAAGGATGCAGCATACTGGAAGTCTATGCTTAAAATCTAGTCATATAGTATTCTAATTTTCTTTGCGTTTGTTTCCGTTTCCCCTAAATCATTTTATTTTTGTCTCTCAGGTGGTACATTTATTCTATGGCTACTGGCAGAGCTTCTGTACGCACAAAAACTTTGCATGGAAGGAGGAGTACGACACTCGACAGGCCTCCAACCGCTGGGAGAAGAGAGCCATGGAAAAAGAGAACAAAAAAAACAGGGACAAGGCCAGGAAAGAGCACAGCGAGCTGGTGCGCCAACTAGTGGCCTTCGTCCGAAAGCGTGACAAGCGTGTTCAGGCCCATAAGAAGCTGGTGGAAGAGCAGAACGCAGAGAAGGCCAAAAAAGTTGAAGAACTGAGGAGAAAACAGAAGCTCCACCAGGCCAAGTAAGATTAGCCCCTTTTATACGATTGGGTGATATGACAAAAGTTTGTTCATACAAAGGAAAAAATGTGTCAACTGGGAGAGATATGTATAGATAGCCATAGTCCCCGCAGTCATGTAAAACCTGGATATATCAGGGAGTTTTAAAATAGATTTAAAATAGATTTAATTAAAAAATATATTTTTTTGTTTATTTAATTATATATTTATTAAAAAAATGTAAAGTCTACATTTTGTGTGTGTATGTATGTATATATTAGGGGTGTGCACAAATAGTCCAATTTTCGATCTGTAATTATTATTGGAAAAATAAAATCACTATTCAGATTTTACTACTTGTTGCTTTCGGGCCATAAATGCAGGGAATCCATGATAAATCCTAAGCTTGCCAACTAAAAGTCTGTTATAACTAAATGCACTGGGTGGTGCTGTGGAGCGTGTTAACAAGTTGATTGTATTTGATCACAGAATGTCATTGTCTGCCTCTAGATGTTTGGAATTACTTTGACCAAAATGATCTTACTAAATGATCTTACAAAATGGAATTACCTTTGATCAAATGAACTTTTGATCTATGAGAAATCACATGAAATCCAAACAGCAGTCGACTGAGGAAAGACACACAGCTGTACCCCGAGTGACCCAAGAAGAGAGCCTATCTGATAGAGAAATGATCTTGAGACATATGCATCCTTTAAGTTTCCTCGAGGGAGAGTGCTTTAAGAACAGAAAACACAAAGTGCTGTAAGAAACTTTGCTTGGCACACCATTATCTTTGTGTCTCTCTGGAACGTCTGTGTCGGCGCGCATTCTTAATGTTATCAGACGGAGCCAACTTTCATGTGGATATTATTGTTTTTCTCAACATTAACATGATGTGAGAATATAAACACAATAAACATAGGCCGACTCGAGTGTATGTACATTCTGTATTTATTTACTGATTTGCTGCTTTATTTTTTTCTGTTTGCTCTGGTTTGAATGTGAACGAATGAGCTTGAATGTTTTAAACCAAAAGAAAACCTTAAGATATAACGTAATGTTGTAGAACATTGTGTATAATGCCTAATCATGAGCTTATTCAGAAACGGTGACAAACTTTCCCTTTAAATGTCATTTAAATAAACACATTTGTTTTTCTTATGAGCCCAAATATTCTAATACAATATTTTTGAAAAATGCCCATCCCCTATTTATTTATATATATATATATATATATATATATATATATATATATATACACACACACACACACAATATATAAAAATGTTTTTAATAACATATCTATTAAATATTTTAATAAAATATATTTATAAAGTTAGATATTATAAAATATTTAATGTATAATATTTAACAATTATATACATTGTTGCTGTATATCACAGTTATTGATTGTGTGCCGTTAGGCTGGTGGAAGACTATCAGGAACAGAGTTGGACTGCCATGTCAGAGCTGGAGAAAGAACTGCAGCAGATGGAAGCGCAGTACGGTCAAGAGTTTGGTGATGCATCAGAGAGTGAAGAGGAGGAGGAGGAGGAGGTGGAAAATGGGCAGGAGAGGGCAAATGTGGACAGGGGAGGTGAGTTCTGATGTCATGTGTACACATACTTGAGTGGATTCTGGGTAGAGGAGGTCAGAGGTTCAGCACACATTTGATCATCGTGAGACTGAAAAACAAGTCTCATAACACACAAAAATGTATTTATTTGTTTTTAAAGAAAGAGCACAAGCACTTTCTAAGTACAGCATGTCGCAAAACAAGTCTGTTGAAGTCGTTTTGTTATTTTATATCTATGCAGTGATATTCAGATATAAGTGTGACATCAGTGTACAAATTCAGTGTTGAGGTCACTATAAATGGACAGGAAAAGTCGGAGCAGTCATCTGTGATTCATACGTAAATACAGTGACTCAGCGAGACCAAGTCATGAAAAATACCTCAATTATACTGTAAACATTTGTGAGTAATGGACAGCACACAACTCGGCACTGTATTTTGTCAGATGTGGTGCAGGCAGATGGTGCCGTGGAAATGGACGACTATTATGATGACCTGTACTGCCCTGCCTGTGACAAATCTTTCAAATCCGATAAAGCGTGAGTGAAAAGAGCGCCCACATACACTGCACTGAAACCTTCCATGTACACCCTCTTATCACTTCACAGATAAAAATCATTTCATTTTTAGATTTCAAGTCATTAAAAAACATTATATAACCCTTCAGTTCATATCTGTAGCTGCTTTACATAAAATAAAATAAAAAATGTATATATATATTTACACTAACTTTCTACAGGTTTTTTTAAAGGCTCACCAAGGCTGCATTTTTTAAATCAAAAATAGTGCAAATAGTAATATTGCTAAATATTAGTATAATTTAAAACTGTTTTCTATTTTAATACATTTTAAAATGTCATTTATTCGCTGAATTTTCAGCGCTATTACTCCAGTCTTCAGTGTCACATGATCCTTCAGAAATCATTTTAAAATACTTTTGCTATGATTTGCTGCTCAATGTTCAAAAACAGTTGTGCTGCTTAACATTTTTGTGAAAACGTGATAAATTTTTTTTTCAGTATTTGATGAATTGAAAGTTGAAATTGAAAGAATTGAAAGTTGAATTGAAAGAACAGCATTTTTTTTAAATATACATTTTTTTGTTACCAGTTTAAGATCAGTTTATGCATTCTTGCTAAATTATTAATTTCTTTCACACACACAAATATATATATAAAACTAATGAGCTGATAAGCTAACATTAATGTAGACTTTGAATGTTAAAGTAAACGTATTTGTTCATAGATGTGTTGTTTTTCTGCTTTAGCATGTTATTTTTTTTAAATGATCTTAAATGAACAGCATCTTTATACACTGATGACTTGCATTACTTGCATTTTAATGCTGCAGTATAATTTTTTTCCCCTCACACATCAGTATGAAAAACCATGAGAAGTCTAAGAAACACAGAGAGATGTTGGCATTGCTACGGCAACAGCTGGAGGAAGAAGAAAAGTCGCTGAGTCAGAACTCTGCCGAGAGAGAGGAGGATGACGACGATGAACTCGATGACACACCGAGACAAAAGTAAAACATGCCTGTCGGCCCTTGCGATGTTCTTTGATTGTAATTTGCAACTTTTATGGTATTTCACAATATATCCAGGATGTCTAAAATGTATAGTGTGAACATTAATGAAATATTATTGTAAAGTGAATATTTATAATACGAATGAACATTAATGTAAATAAATAAAAAGATAGCTCATGCACAGCTGATATAATCTCATTGCTTAATAATAATTCAATCATTTTAATAAAATCATTACACCTTGCTCAAGATTTTCATATTGTATATCAAGGATAAGAGCATCTGGAGGCTTTATTGACTGTTCCTGTCCACTGATTGGTTCGTTTGATTACAGATTATCTAAAAGGCAGAAGAAAAAGAAACGTCAGCAGAAAAACATAAACGTAAATAACTCAAATCCAACCTCCAAACCCTTAAGTATGTTAATTGACTAGATTTAGCTTTTTTTGGATTTTCTAATGCTGTTGTTCTGCAGAATCTTCCAGAAGAGCCAGAGATTGACAGTCCAGTCCCACAGTTCACAGAAGAGCGTCCCCCACCTGCACCTGATTCGGGCAACAATGAGGACACCCCTGTCCTCTCTGAGGACCCAGATGAGAAAATAAAACCAGAGGGATGTGAACCCACAAACCAAAAAAGGTGTCTCTCATATGCCATTTAACAATCCACCGGTTTAAAACTCAACACTAGTTTAAACTCATGCATTGTGGGTAAAGTCCCCTGTATATTGATATGAATTGAGATTAACTCGTTATGTCACGTTTTACAGCTCTTCAAAGACAAAAGGGAAGAAAGGCGGAAAAGACTCTAACAAGGACGGCAAACCAAACGGAGGTGTGGAAGCTGCACAAGAGGTGTGTACTATACTTTTGTTAGTATGTGTTTGAACGCGAGCAAACAGCCACTCCTCTGCTGCATTACAGATGTTTTATAATCATCATCCAGACATAAACAACTTCATGTGACTCAATAATGTTGAGTAATTTTGAGTAAATTGAGTAATGTGTGTGTATACAACAGCTTTATTTATTCTGATTTCTGATTGGTGTAATGAAGTAGTTTTACACATTATATATGGAAATAAACACGTAAACTGTAGAATAAGTGAAACTCCAAACAGTGGATTTTATTAATCATTTTCAGTAATTATATAGTCCGGAGTAGGGCTGTAAGATTAATTGAAATACATCTGAAATTACAATATGGTTCAGTGTGATTATAAAAATTGACTGCTATTTAACTCCATCTCTGCTCTGCAGTTTGGGTCGTTTTAACATGAAAAAGTCTGATAATTTAAGAAATTAAGACTAGTAATTAAATAGTTTTTATTTTATTTTATTATTATTATTTTTTTAAACAGTTGAATGTAATCAAATATTTTTCTATAATTTTTTTATTTTACAGTGAAATATTACAATGTTACAATTATACAATATTTCAGTAACTTTTATATCGCAATAATAATAATTTTAATTGTATTGATATATAATTGAAAAACGAATGTTGCAGTCCTGCAAACAATAGTAATGTTTCTTTTTTAAATGTATATATTTTTGTTTTATTTAGTAGTAATAATAATAAATAAAATGAATACATATTATTTTATAGCTGTATTGACATATGATCACAAAATGTTGGCCAAACTCAATTTTAAATGAGTCTAAATTTTTTTTCCAGAAAAAAAAAAATCACAATTATATTTTTTCCCCAAAATCATGCAAGCCCTAGTTCAGAGTCAATTTTTGCTCTCCGAAATGACATTAGTCAGCAAATTTGTGATGATTTATGTAACTTTTTTTGTTCTGCTCATTATAGAGGGAAGTCAACCTGCGCTGTGTGACCTGTCAGTATGAATTCGCCACCAGGAACAAACTTTTCGATCATCTGAAGACCACGGGCCACGCCACCGCCCTCTCATCCAGTAACGCTGCCCAAACGTGCAAGAAAAAGAAGGACGCCAGGAAGAACAGATAACTGAGGCAGACTGAAGACTGCCCCTCTGAATGTACATTGTAAAAACCTCTGCTGGTATTTCTTTTTATTTTTTTTTACTTCTTTGATGACATGCAGTTCTGCAACCATCAGGCAGCGAGTGCGTTTCTGTCCCTACGAAAATTAATTTGTGCCCCATGAGCTGACATCTCTTTTGTAATGCACCATATGCCAAAAGATGTCCCTAGAACTGCCATTTATTCCTAACTGATGTGTAATCTGATGCCTCAGAGCTGATCTGTAGGCGAATGAGACTTGGATATTTTAGAGTAGGCCGTGCAAATGTGGTTTTGTTTTTAGGAGGTTGAGTAATTATTTTTATAGCGCATTTTATGTCACATTAAGTTGCGTTTTCATAGTCGCCATTCCATTCTGGTAACCTGTAAAAGGCAACATGAGGAATGAAACTCCACTGGATATTTTGAAAATGCTTTTTTTGATTATTTCACAGAGCTTTAATTTAATTGGAAGTGTTTTGGAACACAAAACTCTTTGTTTGGAGAAATGTGCAATGAACTGCAGCATCTCACAACAATGTTATTATTAGTAATAAGACCAATGGGTTTATGATTGTGAAAAGAGTAAAAACTAAACATTCAGATATTTTTATTGTACCGTGTAATGGGTAAGCTGCGGAATAAAAAAGCTTAGTGTTATGCAAAACAATACCATGTGATTTCCAGGAAAGGATCTCAAAAAGAATCGGAACAAAAAAACAACGGATGCTTATTTAATATACAATTGATTTCTTACAGGACAAAAATATCCGTATAATCTTCACATAACGTTTTAAGGGACAACAGATTTATTTATTCTAAAATTGACCTTGCTTGCCTTAATCGTATAGACTGTAAATGTCATTTGAACTGGGTAGGGCTGCCACTAACGACTATTTTTATTTCGATTAATCTCTCGACTAATTAATCGATTAATCTAAACGATTAATTTCCCAATGTTTTATGGATTCTCGTCCGTGAAATGCTCCACTTCCGGTATTTTGTTGGTTAGTCGACGCAAGCAAAGTGAAGTCGAGGATTTTTAAAAATCGAATAGTCGAATAAAATCGACGAATCGTGACATCCCTAGAACTGGGTCAGGTTTGAATTTACTCCCCGCCAAACTTTCGAAACAGGTTTTATGTGTTTATACCACTATCGTTTTACTGTAGATGCAGCCCTGCTGTTGATATATATTTATAAAGCTGGGGACATTTACAGAAATCTCGAGTATGTAATTGTAACTTCCACAAATGTGCTTTAGTTTTTATTTATTTAGCATTTCAAGAAACAATATTTGCTATATTTTTCAGCACTGAAAACAATTACCTAATTGCAAAAAGTTGGTTGGAACCAAATTTTTGTTGTTGTTGTTTCTTGCACAAGGGGTCAATTGAACATTTGACAAAATGTAGCTGTACCTGTAAAACAACAAATATTTAATGCTGTATTGTTAGAAGATATTAAAATAATTTTGTTCCAGCTAATTTTGTTTTACTTGACAAATTCTTGAATTAGTATACTTTATTACTTGATGGTATCATGACTAGCATTAATCTCAAATTTAAGACTTTGTAAGACCATATGAGCAGGGTAGGGGAGTGTCTTGTAACATTAAACTGTAAAATGACATTAAAAAGCATGATTTACAGTTTAGGTACATGTTTTCACAAAAACAAAGTTTTTAAAAATGAAGCAGTCAGGCAACTGGAGGAACAACATATTGTAAGTGATTCGTGTCTTTTTTCATTTGATTTTTAGCAAAATTGTCTTTGCCAGGAAATGTTTTTGTTTAAAGTGTTTGCGTGCTGAAGTCACGTTTTTTCTCGTTTCACTCTGTGAGATAGTAAGGCTTGGCCAAAGCCAGCAAAAATACTTGTAATTTAGCAGTTAGTAGTGAGAAGCAGTCAGGCAACTGGAGGAACAACATACTGTAAGTGTTTTTGTGTCTTTCTCTGTGAGATAGTAAGGCGTGGCCAGCTGAACTAAACGCTGTATCAAGTGTGTATAAAACTGTGTAGTATACCACAGCAGCGGTCGCAGCAGCCCTTGTGTGAAGACCGAAGAGTGTTAAGACCAGCGACCAGCGACTTCACCAAGCAAGGACACCGACAAGGCACTCGAGTATTGATTTTTTTCCTTCCTTCCTCTTTTATACAGCTTGTTCTCATCCAATTGTTTGTGTGATCTGCATCACTATGTGCTTTCAAATTCCCATTATTACTAACGCTCATAAATAACGTGCCACACATTGGAAACAGTGCAATCTTAACAACCTGTGTATTATAACCATGTCCTCTAATACATTACTTTCTATTCCTATTGGTCAATGAAAATACCAATCTGCTGTAAAAAAGGGCAGACTTTCATTACGTCTATCGCTACTCATTTAGGTCGCCACCTCCTAGCCCTGACTGAGGCTATGG